TCTTCACTATTAAGTATTGACCAACTCTTTTGTCCTGTTAACATCTTACTTTAAATTCATTTATAAGATTTGTATTTATCTTATTCTCCATTTTGCTTTAATATGTTACGCAACCGATTTACATAGTCGTTTATCTCTATCCAATCACAACGTCACTTTGAATAATGATAATAATGAATGTCTTTTGTCTTACATTAAATTATCGATTGCTTTGCTATTATGCATACAGTTTTATAATTGTTTTCAATAAATTTGCTGAATCACGAATCAAACAAATTTATTTAGAATATGATCAATGAATTCATTTTTTCTATTTATTTCATATTTGAAGGTAACTACATGTTAAGACAAGTGAAGAAGTAATGATAGCAACTGGTACAATATACGAACTGAAATTGAAAATAATACTTGCTGGCCAGAATCAACTGATATGAAGCCTAAGTCCAGGATTCTCCATCTATTGTTTTCAACTATATCATATCAGAAACATAATATACCGCCATGTTGAATGGCTTAGTCTAGTGGTCGCATTTTCACTTAATCAATATATTTCGATTAGCAATAGAGATTAAAAATCAGAACATCGGTTACTGTTACATGATCGATCAGTGTATTCAATTGAACAAACCAGTATTACTTACCAATTTGCAAAATTATACTAAGGTCGTCCATCATAGATTATTGTAATTTTATTACTACAAGAAATTTACACATTTTTGTTAACTAGATAGACGTAAATGTACATAAAGCATATCTGTAACTTTTGGCTGTTCAAAACCAGTGAAGGTATGGTAACTTGAAACATTACAATCCACTAACTTGGGTGACGTAAAAAATAAAACAGCCAAGTCATAGCTTCACACAAGTAGATATACTTTGATCATTAGAACTAATACTGCAGTATGAATTTGTTACACAAGATTCAAATGTTGTATAGTTCTTGACCAGATATACGAAGAATATATTTCTTTATATTATTAGATAATAACCATCTTATTAAATACTACATCAAAGTATAATAAGAAATTCTTAACACAAGATATAAAATTTCGATATAAGTTCTTCTTAGTCAACATTTTAATTGTAAAAACTCAATGACAAAAGTATTAAAACATTGTTTCAACCAGCCAATTCTCTGATTTACAATTTTCTCTTTGAGTTGGTTAAAGTGATATGTAGATTTTGCATTTGGTTTTACTTATGTGAATCCTAAATTACACACTTCTCGTTTCATCAATGAATAACTATGAGTAAGGAGGATAGATTGCATTTGCGTACATAACACTGATCAGTTGCTTACACGAGTCCAAACGTCCATTCACAATCCATTAACTAATAAACACAAAAGGTTTATCACCGACTTCACTGACAGACTTCTAGATCCTAAGTCACACACTTTGGCTTTTTCTCGAGTGTTCAAGAGATAGTAGGGAATAATGCAAGAAATTAAAAAAAATAACCATTCATTAACAATTAACGGTTATGAATAAATTATTGTTATTCATAACCTTGCATAGTATAGATAAACATTAAAAATATATTTCCCCAAAATTCAGATGGACTCAAATTGATAATAAAAGCAATGTTTTTTGTTCATGAGTAATTACTGCCCATCAATGATAAATCCATTGTATTCATAAACATATGTCTCAATTGCTTATTACCTTTATGACTAGAATAATCAAACAACCAATAATAATGATAATAAAGTGTATTTCACTGAATTTCTATTGCAATAACTTCCAACTCAATAATTTAAATCATTGTTATATGATCTTATTCTAGTGACTTTTTATTGCATGTTCGTAGCATACGTATACGTTAGAAATTACAGCACTAGGTAATTATGTCAGGTAGCAGTCATACACAACTATCATAACGTATTTCATCATCACAAGTAAAATTGAAAGAACTCCAAGGATAAGCATAAAACCCATCCATCAACCTCGATGCAATTACATCCTGATTTGAATGAATAATCGAGTGACATAAGTCATTAGTGGAGGCATAAAGCATTCTCTACAGATTTTAGACTATCAAAGAACTAGCACCATTAAAAATTCACAGATCTATATCCACGAAAAGTAGGTTGAATCTTTTCTACTTTGATTGGTCACATGTTCAATAAGTAAAAGATTATCTCAAGATTAAGGTAGCCTATATTTATTTTCCTTCTGTATTTTACAGTTTAAACTTATTTGGTTGAACTATCTCTCTTCTTAGATAGTCGAACAATGTATTAAATAGTAACTCCTTTTTTATTATATTTCACTTAATTCATATCATTTCATGAATTACGTAATCTGGCTGAACATTACAAGTGGTTTTTATGCTTCAAACTACTTCCCTTTATTGTGACCATTGACCTCATGGATGTATTTGTTCTAAAATCTGATTCAAGTCTAAATTACATTATATTCGGGACATTCTCAACAAATGTTAACGTATTTCACCTTCAATCTCATAATTTCAGTGCTGTATTTCTAATGTCTCCAAATTACCCATCACTTTTGATTATTAGTTTGAATTGGTAACTATAGTATCTAATTTGAGCTTACTTCTTTTTAACTATTGATCCACACATCTGTGTTGTGATTAGTTATTAGTAGGATATGAAGAGAACAGTTATACTCATGAAGGTAGTTTCAGAGACTGATATTTTCTTATGATCATAATAAAATTATTATCCTCTTTTCTAATCATAAATTTGTTTTACAATTTTGATATCTCCAACCCCCCATTCACCCGCTTTCAATAATTATAGATGTACAGAATTGACTGATCTGGGAATAAGCCATTTAGCGACAATGTCTAGTCTTCAACATCTCAGCGTAAGATGGTGTGTCAATTTATCAGACGGTAGTATACCACATTTACTTAGTACGACAGGATTAAATTATCTATGCTTAAGTGGTAAGTTATACATGCATGCTTACTTAGCAATGACATTGTTTTTATCAAATATGCACTTTCAAAATCATAAGAGTGAGTAAACGAATTCATCGGAATTATAATTTGTTGTACTTTGTTAAACTGTAATTGAAGAAATGAGAGCTCATCAAAGTAATCCTAATGTTACATACTGAAATCGAAAACGAATGATCAGAAATGAATTTGTAGCCTTTTTAATTTCAGGTTAGCGAATACAATTTACGGGCCCACAAGTTCAGTCCATAATTACACCATTTCGAATTAATTCAATATTTTAAAATCGCCCGTTCATAATTTTGGAATCAAATATCCTTCATTAGTAAGATATGTTTCAATTTCTGGATAAGCCAGTAATAATAATTCTAAACTAAGTTGTTTTGAACATTTTTAACTTTAGTCTAACAATTCCAGAATATTTTCTAAGCTAGGCTAACACTACATAGTTACATATACAATTTACCAGTTTTATGATTCAGGCAAGCCAATTATATCCATTACTCAGAGCTTTGAAATTGACTTAATGTTTCGTTCAAACGCAAGAAATGATTTAAAGATAACTACTAGTTTCGAGTGTTCGTATATTATTCGACTTCAAATAATACATGTAAGTCGTACGGTAAAACAAGAGTAACTTTTTGATAATTAACTTGCCTACAGATAAGTGGAGTGATTAAGGCAGTCAACCACTTCATTTTATCAGTGGAAAACGGTACCGAAGAGTTAAACCATACTTGACAGAAAAAAACTAGGATTTGGTTTTTATAAAGATCTCACAGCCTATTTAGTTGACTGTTGTTTTTTATTGTAAATGGATCAAATGAAAAGCAGGAAGCAGAAATACTCATAATACCTCTCTATAAAGGATCGAAAGAAAACAACTTTATCAGACAAGACTGGCTATTTGCAGATCGAATAACGAATAACCATGAGCTTGACAAAAAAGCCTTTCGTCCGAGAAGAAATATATCACACGAAAATATCATCAATGAAATTACATGGATCTTCTGAAAACACCGAAGATTTTTTGTAAGATACTAGTATTCAAAATCTGCCACTTTAATTTTAAGTCATTTACCACCAATAGAGAAAATTTTGTTCTATCTGTGCAATAACACTTGCTTGTGAACCGATTTGTATACACTATAGTGATTACTATGATTATGCAGATACAGAGATCAAGAAATACACTACTTCTAAGAATCTAAGATCTCTTTGTTGATGATTTCGAACGAAGGTTTATAAGACGCTGGTTCAATCACCAAATATACGAGTTTCATAAAGCTTTTATGAGACTCACGGAGATCAGTGCCCAGAAGCATGATATTTTGAAGATTGGTTTTTACTACCTTTTATTGATCGGTTTTCGAATCTGAAGTTCAAACAGCGATATTATTTCGCTGTTATGTGACAACCATTAGTGAACTTTCTTCCGTGAAATCTTGTACGACCTGCTCTGAGAGCTGACTGATAGTTGGTACGATACTCTAGTGCATTGACTTAAGGAACAAAACCTTATCTTAGCTATTGTATTTTAAACAAGAGAACAAGATCAACAACACTGAATAATAAACTATAAAATCCATTTGCCACTTAGTTTCTCACCTTCATATAATATATTTCATACAATTTTACTTTCATACGATTTTAATTTTATTTAAATAGGTTGTAAAAGGATAAGTGAGGATGGTCTATGTACATTAGCTCGTCATCCACGTTTGAATTATTTGGAATTGGCTCATTTACCAGCAGCTACACAACCAGTGAAGTTATATTTGAACAAAAATTTACCCGGTTGTAAATTATTATGTTAATAATATAAAATATGTACATATCCATATACATACATACTCATATACATATACTTATCATTTTACATTCTACGTCATGTGGTATATATATATATATCATAAGACGATTATGCGTAATTAATACATACCATACAAGTATTTTTTTCTTCTATCCCTTTCCATTTTGTTCATACAAATCACGTCTTATAACAATTGAAATCAAACAAAATCACCTCTCGTCAACTTCTTCTGTGATACAATATATAAATTAATAAATAACGCTTTTATTTTCGAAAATTTATATATTTTTTGTGTTATATTTTCTGTTTACTCAATATATATATAATCTTGTTTATCATGACGTTTCCACTTTTCTTAAAAAGAAAGTAATGAGGGTACATACGTCTTTTTTCTCTTCAAATTTACCGTCATCACCATTAACAATAATATTTCATTAAAAACAAAAAATAACCCCAGTAATAATCAAGTTTAAGAATCTTGAAATACATACATTATAAACAAAAATATCATATCAAAAGAGTTTTCTTTCAGGTTAACTGACCCACCAACAAGTTACACCTAGTCCATCAGCTACAACGGAACCCTAAAATCAGAAACAGAAAATGGATGGAAAAAGAATGTAGTAACAGGTAGACTACTTAGTGGTTAAACAGAAATTCGGTTAAACAATAGTAGTAATAATAATAATAATAATAAGAAGAAGAAGAAGAAGAAGAAGAAAAGTAATAATCATGTAACTCAATAGTCGGTTACAAATTTGCATAATGTATTTTATTCCCTATTTATCGTGTGAAATTCGTTAAAATAACATGCCTAGCCGAACGCCAAAGTAGATGAAGTAGTGTTTGGACCTGCGGAATCCAAGTGCTATAATCATCAAAATTTCGCTTAGAATTTTCAAAATAACAGTTAATTATTGTAATACTCACCGTATATTTACTTTGAATAGATTTATCAACAGTTCCAACAATAACTAACTTTATATTTGAACCAAGATCAGCAATATCGAGGCATACGCACAGTATGCACATATGCCAATAAGAGACTGATCAATTTCAGTCCAAAAACATCAATGGGAAAATTTAAGTAAAACAGTATCAAGTGGATTCAACTTCAACCCATTGCACAAGCAAGTGGCTATCAGGACTCAGTAGCTGAGTGGATAACGCGATGGCGTTTGAAGCGAACGGTACTGAGTTCGAGTCCCAGAGTGAACATCAACTCTGAGATGCAGGTACATCCAGCTGACGAGTCCCAAGCAGGACGAAACGCGCGTCCTGGATTCCACTGCTAGCCACTATCCATCTTTGCTTATAATGCTTGTAAATTTAGGCAATATCGAGGCATACGCACAGTATGCACATATGCCAATAAGAGACTGATCAATTTCAGTCCAAAAACATCAATGGGAAAATTCAAGTAAAACAATATCAAGTGAATTCAACTAAGCCTTATCGTTTTCATATTCTATACTATAATTGTGTTTTACAAATTAAATTAGGTTTGAATTTGAAACCAAATAAATGATATAAACAAGTTTAATCAAGTCTTCATCGAGCTGTTTATGAAGCCTAAGATGAATTTTATAATCATTAGTGTCGAAAACAAAAAACAGAATGATTGAATTACGATTACTATTTTAATGGTTTATTCCTATAGCTTACAGCAATAAAAAATTCAATGACAAACAAACAAATCGATTCATCTCAGAAGACCAAACACGATCAAACGAATCCCTAACAAAAAACAAACAATCAATATTACATACTTAAGGTACACTTATAAAAATATCTTCATAAGGAACGCCAGTTTTATTTTTAAGTGTCTAAACCTCAGATACAGAAAAACCTGAGGCTTGTCATAACTAATATAATGCTAATTTGACAAATCAAAATATTACAATATACTACACGAAAAAGATGCTTGAAGTAATCGAAATCAGAGCTTTTATATAATCGCAGGTGAATGAACATTAATTCATTTATGAAAAGTGCTGTTCATTCAAAAAATAAAAGCAACTTCCACGCAGTGCAACATGACCCTAGAATTCCATGATAAAATAGTTTTACATGAACCACTAAATATCACTGTATGTCTATTTTTACAATTAAATACATGCAAAATCCAAGTTTCTGGGAGAAAACTATAATTTTTGAAATTTGAAATGAAGGAACTGTATCATAACCACTTCAATTGAATCACTTAATGGTCTTTTAACCATGAAACTATCAACTTGTCACCTCAATAATAAAATTATATTCTCTTATACATCCGATTACATAGTGTTTTCTTTTGTTTTGTTTTTATGGTTAGTAAATAAACTGTAAACACTTATTAAAATTTAAAAATGAGAGAGAGTAGTTACGTGAAGAGATCCACTATCAGAGGTATTATTTCGTGTTTACGTAAATTTTTTGCTAACATTTAACTTTCTGATTTGTTGTACCAAGTTAAGCAACGTATTTCCACAATTCCGCTTAATTTTTCAGTTCTTATGACAATTCTGTTGTCTTAAATCTCTAATTTTATGCGTGGATATCTTTTTGTATATTTCTCCCTACAATTCTATCCTGACGAAAGATAAACGAGTTATTATTATTGAAAATATTATAGACAAGATAAAAAGACGTGGTTGTTTAGCTTAGATAACGCAATGGTTAAAAGGCGATCGCCCCGTTGAGCTGCTCTTTACAGCATCAAATTTTCTTATTCATAAATCCCCCAAATACATGTTATATTCAAGCAATTTCTGTTTTTTCCATATACCATTGTCATATGAATGAAATACTTTTTAACAAATTGATAAATTTTATTGTATTATTGGCCTCGTGCAACACCTTCCAAGTAGGTGTCATTACCAAGGTTTGATTTGATAATTTCGAATAAATTGAGCATTGGGTTGATTGTTATAAATAAAAATATATATTTGTAATATCCCAATGAGTAAAAAATTGGATTTTCTGACGTTTCGTGGCTTAGTGTAAGTCACTTCTTCAGAGAATAAATAACCAAATTAAAATTAATCCAAGTTTAAATAGTACAACGGAACAATGCAAGAATAATATTTGATCAATCAAAAAACAGGTCTGAACAAGTTGATGTTATGTCATTTCTGTGCAATGCACATATACATACACACACAAATTTACATACTTATCACTTATGAATCACCTTCCAAGTAGTTTCTTATCTATCGAAATATATATTACTGATATATAAACAAGTAGCAAAACAGAAAACAGCTAATATTATCAAGAATACGCTAGGAATAAGAAAAAATCTACAAAATTACGGGGAAAAGCTATGTCACGATTTTAACTATCTGAAAAAGATATATGAACAGAAGAAGCAAACGAAAATACTGTGGACACTATGAGGAACCAAAATTTAATTTAACTTTAATATTAAATCGACTCAAAATGTAACGTAGTTTATAAAACCACAATGTTGGTTTCTTTCCAATAAAATTTTAGTTATAACGATTTTCAGGATACTTAAATAGAGCAGTAGAAATTATAGTATAAAGCTTTCTATGATTTGTTCGTATCAAGTCGCACATAGAACAAGAGCTTTTGTGGCATAATTCACGATAAAGATATACCAGAAGCGATGAGATAAACAAATCAAATAATCGACCTTCTTCAAACCGTGAAAGTAATAAAGTCAGAGGCTTGAGTGTTTCTCCCTAACAAATGGACTCGGTATGGGGTTAAATAAGGAAGGCTAAAATTATGTTTAAAGAGGCAAGCATAATGACTGACAGCCCCAAAAACTACAAAACTAAGTAGAATTTAACGACCAGAAAACAAAGATTGGAGATGACGGAATTTGTTGGACTAAGAAAACACTTATGACATTTATTTAGGACTTCCTGAGATGTCCTTACACACTAACTCAGTACATGGAGACAAGTAAGTGACTGGCCTTCAGTAAAAATAATAACCATCCCAACCTAACTTGCAGAAGCAAACATCTGATGACTAACTTCCGTCCTAAAGCTTCATCAAACTTTTTATCAATTCGAAATAATTATAAGAGTATCTTCCAAATAATTCTCAGTCATCGTGAGAAAAAAAGTACATTTTCACTTTCAGGATGACTAGAACAACAAAATATATCTCATTTCTATTTGTGTATTTCTTCAAACCATTTAAGAGAATCGATTTCTTTCCATACAATGTAAATCAAAGACCACTGATATATAGTCAAAAGTCGTTATATTATGCTTTGACAAATGGAATAATCCATAGTTATTTTTAAACTATTGAAGTTGAAATCAAGTTGTATCGATGGTGAAAAGTCTTTAGAGAATGCCAGCAATATTGTGTTAGACTAAATTACTCACTAATTAATTTATTGACGATTTCAGTCCAGTTTTAGGTGGAGTTTTGATCTCTGAGCTGGATGGTTTGGTCGTGAAGCTTCCATCGTTTGCGCTGATGAAGCCACTCGGAAGAACGATGAAAGCCCCATGACCAAACCATTCAGCTCAGAGGACAACAATCCACCCAAACCATACACTTGGGCTACAAATCTTCTCAAACATCTCAAAATCTCAGTCCAGTCTTATTTTAAAAGGTTAAGTAGGGAAATAATAACCTTAAAAATCTAAATAAACGAGATACTAAAATAATGTAACGGGAAGCAGGCAGAATATATTAACTGGGAGATGTATTTTCATTTTCCAAGGCAGAAATAAATCTGTTAAACTACGAATTACTATGCATTGGCTTCTCGAGGCGGGAGTGTTGTTTACTAAATTGAAAGAACGAAAAGCGAAAGTCCAGTGCTTAAACAGGGCTACTGGGTATGAAGGGTCTATCTAAGGGAGGTAGAAAACCCTGATTGCGAACAAATTGTTCACATGAGCTCCAGGATCCTCAGGGGGCAAATGGCATATGAACCTATTTCTGGTCACTGACTACCATGAAATTACAGTTCCTAAAGTTGCTCCACTGTCCGATGAACTAGACCTCTAGGTCAAAGGCTCCAACAGAGGCAATTAAGGATGAGTTCTACCACCGCTCAAGTGCTCTTCTACAGAAAGTGAGTTCGACAAATACTGTAGTTATAGCCGGAGAATTAAAAGATCGGGTTAGGCTACTAGGCACAAAAAAGAATCGCTGGAATGACCGATGGGAACTTTTTGGTCATAGATCAGATAACAGAAACCGTCTACTACAACTGTGTGCAGATCACAACCTGTTTCTGGCTAGCACTAACTGCAGGCACAGTCACCACCGATGTGCCACCTGGTGTCCTCCCTTCTGATTCTCGAGCGTAGGCTCAGATTGATCACATCGTGATCAGCTAACGCTGGTGTGGTTGTGCACGGAACCGTCTCTCCTTTTAGAGTACCTATCTGGACTCCGATCATGCTATTGTTTGCGGTAATTTTATCCTACGTTTCAGTGGCCAACAAATTCACCGTCCTAAACGCATCAATGTCAGAAAATTGGTTGCAGCTTCTGTTGCAACTAAATATTAAACCGAGCTAGGTTCAGGGCTAGCTACCATCCCACCGAAAAGTATAGGTGAGAGTCGGCTACAATTGCATGACGCGATGAAAATAGTGAGTAAAATTACTTACCTCTGGTTTTTTGTACAGATGGTGTCGACCTCCAGGTTAAGGAACTGACTTAGTTGTATAGCAATTAGAGAAATTTCCAACATTGTGGAATGAGTCGATAGTTGTACCTATCTTTAAAAAGGGTTTACATCACCTATGCAACAACTATCAGGTAATAAGTTTACTTCTGATTGAGTCCAAACCACTGGACTCCGTCATACTTTGCAGATTGTTCAAAACCCGAGAAGCATTGACTCCTGAGGAGTAGCCTGCTTTTCGTCCTAGTGGAGATCTTATTACCCCCGCCAAGTGTGAGAACATCGTTATACTTGTTACAGACTAACAATCGTAGTGTTCTTGATATCAGGGCCTCCTTCAATTCGGTGGACAGGATTGTTCACTGGGATTGTGTATTGAAGAAAGGTGTGTCTGAGTTCACTATATACAAAACATCTCAGGCAGAGTGAGAGTATACAACCACCTCTCCCTATTGTTGTGTTCGAGTAGTTGGGTCAATCTGGGTTGTCTAATCTCACCATTCCTCTTCAACTTTGCCATCGATGATTATCTGGAAACAGTTCTGATGGATGTAGGTAGTGGTGGTATGGACTTGTTACCTGGAGAAAAACTTCTCAACCTTGAGTATGCGGGTGATATTGTCTTACTGTGCAACGATACAGAAGCCATGCAACCCGCACTTAATCAGTTGGCAATCAGTATCCATAGGTATTGCATTCCCTTTGCACCTTCTAAGTCCAAAGTGCTTTTAAAATACTGGTAGGACCCTGAACCTTCACTTACTCTTGGTAGCCAGCAGATAGAAGTATTCGAGAAATTCGTGTAACTGGTTAGCTGCGTAATTGATAGTGGTGGTTTGAATGATAAGATCAACTCACGTAAAGTGAGAACCAGGACAGCTCATGTCAATCGGAACCAGCCCCCAAATTCCCTGGTACGACCGAGGGTGGGAAGAGTTAGCTCTCCCTCTCGAAATGCTCTCACATGGCCACATGCATACAGCCAGTACCAGGGGAAGTCCTACTCACTGCCTTCTCGCACCAGGGGTGTTATTCACAAAATTGAGAGGACGAAAAGTGAATTTCCGGCTCTTTAACCGGGTTGGTGGACACGGAGAGTCCACCTAGGGGAGTTGGGAAACCATGATTCCAAACCAATGGTGCACATGCACTCCAGGATCCTGAAGGAACAAATGGCATATGAACCTATTGTTGGTTACTGACTACCATGGGACTGCATCTCCTAATGTTGCTCCACTGCCTTTTGGATCAAACCTTTAAGTCGAAGGCTCCGGGCATGGCCCCCTAAGGAAACCACCTGTTTCGATCTGGGCATCCGGGCAGCATCACATCCCACACACAAATCAAGTGACCTGTGTTGTACATAAGTATTCAGTGCCTCTTAGTATCAATATTTATGTGTTCAAATAAATAAATCGGAACCACCTTTGGTGCCGTTGTGATATGAACCTGACTGTAAAAGGTAGGATCTACAACGAATCGGTAAGAGAAGTTCTGCTCTATGCTTGTGAAACCTGGTCTCTCCGAGTTAAGGATGTTAAGTAACTCTGTGTTTGGTCATCGTTGACCTAGACAAATTTCCGACATTCAGCGGCAACACTATGCTAGTAATGTGGAGGTCCAACAATGTGTATGAGCACAGTGATGTTAATTCAATTAATGTCACCATTTTGAAACATCGACTTCAGTGGCTTGGGCATGTCCTCCGAATGTTATCCTAGAGAATTCCACATCGTGGATTATTTGCCGATGCCGAGACTGGTTGGAAAAAGCAGTGGTCAGTGTATGAAGCGATACCCTGATGTGAAAGACAGCTGTATAAGCCTCAGATATCTGTCCGTCACTCCCCACCTGGGGTTCTAGGGATAGTGCAACACAGTGGTCTGAAACGTTATTGGATATGACTCAGAATAGAAGCTGGTAGCGATCCTGCTATAACCTTTTTACTTATTTTATATAAGTGAGAGGAACTTCTTTGGCTGAAAGAATCCTTCCTGGTTGTATTTCTTTTAACTAAACTGCTTCAACAGGCTCTCAGGTCAAGTTGTGAGCCATACGTGGAGATACTCGAACACTTCACTTTTACCTGAAGTTTTTGCTGATGATATTGATCAGAATGATGAAAGCTTCACAACCAAACCATTCAGCTCAGAGAACAAAACTCCACCAAAGCCATCCACCTGAGCTACAAATCTCCACCATCTCAAGTCCTCAAATAGATGGTTATCTATTATAATCAGGTCATAAGTCTAAGGGTTAATATTTTCAACACATAAACTGATGGTACTACGTCTAGTACATAGGAAGACCATAGCTTCGTGCTAGTGCATTACAAAATAGGACCGAACGGCTGAAAAATACTGCAAAGTTATCCATTTTTAACCATGTAACTTAGATGCTTGATAGTAGCTAGGATAATAAATACTTTCACAGACAAAAAATCGTGATAACAGAAATGACAATTGCAGAAATACCGGAGAAATAAACTCACGATTATTGTATAGGGGGCTTTGGGTTCAATTAAAGAGTCTGGATTACCATCACCGCACTCTAATGGGTCATTAGAAGTTGAAATGCTAGTTTTGTCACTATCTGGGTTTGGATCAGACCAAACTTCTTCAACTACACGAAATCTACAACGGAAATCGAAAGTGGAGACAGTTTTCACACCTCGTTAACCAAATTAAAATGAACTGAAACAGTGTTTTTAAATATACACACGGAAATATTAGGGTGAATTCTGTAAAATGGATTCAATGAGATCAAGACCAAACAGAAGCGACTCGAAATCCTCGGAACTCAAATGGAATTATTATATATTTTGGTTGAAGTCCAGCTGGGATTAGATATGGTAGCTCCCGTTTTGCTTCAGAAATTAACGCCACCTATACACTTACAACACAGCGAGAAATCACTGTTCAGTTTCCAAACAACCTAAAGGTAAACTGCGCTAATTCTCAACATTACCTGCGTAGTCACGTTCATGACTGAACTTCCTGTAATCAGGTTTCGGAAACGCTACAAATATGTCACCTCTTAGTTTGGCACAATACAGAAGCATATTTCATCCCAAGTAATGAGATAAAACGGGATTAGTAAAAATACTTTTATTCGCCAAAGCCACAAAAGCAACTGATTGAGGCCAGCCACACAAGACATTTAACTGGATAGTGTTCACTGTACTAATTCCGTAATCTCCGAACCTTATCGTTAACACTGGAAAGCCGTGGAATGACAAGGAAGATCTTTACTAGCTCTTTTGTCTGTGAAAAGGTACAACAGTAAGAAATTCTGATTATTTGTGGAAGACAGCTTACTGCCGCCAAAACACAGCATAACCAGCAGCACAACGCTATTCCTGGAGCTTATATATTTTATTTCTGAGCTTACCTCAACGAAAACGATCCACCTGGTATGTGAGGACCTCAATCAACAAGCGTACAAGTCATATACCTAAGCTTTCAGTCATTCAGTCAGCAACAACGTAGAACTTCGTACCTACTTATGTGTATTTGGTATTTCAGTAACCATTATATTCAGCAGGTTCCAAAAGACTATTTTGCACGAATCAGTCAGTCAGTAACAACGTAGAACTTCGTACCTACGTACATCAGTTCGAGTTGCCACACCACATTAGCACAGAGATACAACTGTCGATTCAAATCCCGTAGTGGTAGAGGTAGTAAGATTATAAGCAGTAATCGGGAAGATTAGGGTTTGGAGATGTTATTTAAAGAGTATAGCACAGTGAAATAAATTTTGGAAGAGAAAAAAGGGACATGAAGAATACAGATTAGAATAAGGGAGAACACAAAGAGTGGATGCACCTGCGCCATTGCAAACGATTTTGAGCCATGTCATTCAGGGTCTCTAACCATCGGTTGCTATCATCTCGCGGTCCCCAACCAGGTAGTCTACACCTACCACCATGACTAAGTCCAATTGTCAGTGACTTCATGGACTTGTGACATTTGTTGGTCTGTCCGCCCCTAGCTTTCTTCCAACCCACTCCTACACCAGAAAACATCACACATCGAGGCAGTCGGTCGTTGGGCATACGTAACACGTGTCCCAGCCATCACAACTGATGAAGTTTCACCACTTCATCAATCGATTTGCCATCCTTACCTAGTACCCTTTTCCTAACAACTGCATTACTTACTCGATGCTCCCAAGATATACGAGCAATGTTTCGAAGACACCTATGATCGAATACTAGTAACCTATGAATTTCCTCTACTCTTACCGGCCACGTTTCACTGCCATAAAGTAGGACAGAACGAACTGCTGCACAGTAAACACGTCCTTTGGTTGATAGACGGATATCTCGCCTGCGCCATAGATGACCCAAGTTGGTAAAAGCTAGTCAAGCCTTCTGTATCCGTGCTGAGATTTCGTCACACACCAGACCACGAGGGCTGATGAGACTTCGACACCTTCAACTACTTCACTCCCTATCATTAGTTCGGGTGTCGATGCAACCCAATCCTGAAGCAACATTTCACATTTCGAGAGGGAGAATCGCACCCCGAACATGCTTGCATTGTTGCTTAGAGTGGTCAGAAGACTCTGCATTTTGTCAGCGTCTTCACCAAATAGAACCATGTCATCGGCATATTCCAAGTCAACAAGTGAGTCTTCTGGTAGAAGTTCAACCCCTGGAAATTTAGATGAGGAAAGTGTTATCTCTAAAAGCACGTCAATGACAAAGTTAAACAAGAATGGAGGGAGTGGGCAACCCTGACGAACACCACTTGAGGTAATCAATTCTGATGACAGTTCGTCATAAGCTCTCACTCGACCAGTTATGTTCGAGTACCCACCACAGTTCGCGATCATTGCGTAGGTTTTTCATCAGCCTGCACTTCAACTGACTCCGCTCTTCATTATGTTCAGAGCCAGATGGAATGAGTTTTCGAGCATCAATCAGTGCGGTAGATGCTGCTGAGACCCAGTGTTTCTCCCTGACCTTGTGGTTTACCTTGGTAGCAGATATCACTGCTGTTTTCACAGCTTTTCGGACATCATTCCATGCTGCCTCGGGGTGGGCATCACATACATGGTTGCCTAACTGTTTTCCTAGTTGTTCCTAAAATATACTCTTAGCTTGACTATCATTAAGTAGGGCCCTAAGAGGTTTCCTTGCAGCGTCTTTCCTACGTCCAGTAAGATGCAGACAGATACGCGCTTGCTCTAGAGCATGATCTGAATCTAAGCATGTGCTCCAGAATGAGCGACAGTCTTCTATCGAGCCCCTCCACCGGTGGCTGATGGCGATATGATCTAGTTGGGTCCAACGTTGGGATGAACTCGGGGTCACCATGTCAAAAGATGTTTTTCTTACGCTTGAAGTTAGTATTTGCTAGAAACAGGCGATTATCTGAGCGTAGTTGCAACAGACAGTCGCCATTATCTGTTCTTTGAGCCACGACACCATAAGATCCACCCAGGTGTCTTTCCTTTTCGCTTAGTTTACCTACTTGAGCATTAAAGCCACCAGCCAATATTACTACATCGGAGCGCCTAACTTTTTGGCGGAGGTCAAAAGGCTTTCTGTAAAACTCATCTCTTACCTCATCTGAGCTGAAGTCAGTGGGAGAGTAGGCAGACGACGAAGAGGCAACGACGAGTGTTCCTATCTTTTCGAGTTCCTAATGCTCCGTTTAGTCGAGCAGCACACAAGCGACTTTCTACTGGGATCCAGTCTAAGAGAGATAGTTCTGCCCTAGGACTCAATACTATACCTATACCAGCGAGGCCATGGGAAGCAGCGTCAGGGCTTCCAGATACACGAAGTATGAATCGAGATGGTTCTTTATTATGATATGATGAGGTCAAATGAATGACGCTACTCGGATTTTGTATACACGTTTCGGAGACGTAGCATACATCGATGGCGTGATATTCTACAGTCCTAGCTAAGGAAGCCTGTTGTCTTATTTGGCACAGTGTTCGGACGTTCAAAGCTCCTACATGTGGTTTAGAGCGTGGTTTCAGGAGACCGGGAATAACGTTCCGCGTACTCGAATCGTTTGCATTAGCGGTGAAAGGTGATAAAGGAACGTGAGAGGGGTTAGTCGTGGAGATAAGAGACTTATTAAGAGGTGTAGGAAGGGTTTGGTTGTGACCAACCTGCTCTTGTGTGCCGTTACGGGTATGAGGGTTGATGTCACTTCCCGCCTGCACACACTGCGGGAGGGTATTTCTTGAGGAACGTGAAAGGGGAGTTATATTAATGTTGGTCTTAACGACCTGGGAGCGTGGCCTCAGAGCTTAAGGAACAAATGCTTGAGGCCGGTCACGCATAGACTTTTTGTGGGAAGTTTTTAACGTGTTAGCTCTGTTCTTCAAAATGCCTTATCGTCGGAGACGGAAATCCGTGAGATAAGGTGAAGTGTGACAATTTTAGGGTTGACTTTTCCTAACCCCTTCCTTTCTTGTGAGAAGGAAGCATCGCTACAGATGCTGGTTGTCTGAGGGAAACACTTTACTGCTGTCACGCCCCTCTACAATCAGCAGTACGACTTCGCCCTCAGACCTTGAGTTACTACTCTTAGTCTTACCGTTCTCCAATCGACCTGCTTGGCATGGTAGAACCTACAGGAACACATGTTTCAGCCAATGTAGCTTGGTTGGGTCATCACGATGGGCAAGTCAGACCACCACGTAAAGGTAACAGCTACAGTCGGGTTACCTAAGCTTAGTATTGACAAAATTCAAATGTAACCATCAGGCTTAGCTGAAAGCTGCAATCAGACGAGAACTGTTGAGGAATTCATATTTGTTCTTAGTATAACATCCTGACAAACAATTGCATGTTTATATTCTCGACTTCAAATTCCATCACATAGGGGCTAATGATACTGTATAGATCTCTCAACCAAAGTGGATCAAATTTCGAATATGTTATGTATAAGACCTAATTTTCCGAATATACAGCCATATCTCCATACAGAAGAGAACCAAGAACTAGAACCGAAAGGACGTTCACTCCATGGTCTGAAATCGCTTTATAAATGACATTAACTTATGGTGAAAGTAACCTTTAAATTTCAAGTATTTTATAAAAATGAAATATTCTTCGTGGTTTCCTCGTGAAATTCTCAGAAATAGATATACTCTACCAAGATCGAAGATTATGAAGCAAAAGTCCAATAAGTTTGTGATATACCTAAAAATCAGGTGATTTGATCTGAAATTGATGGCCTTTACAGGTTATTTTTGTATTCACATCTTAATAAACTAACATCCACATAATCAGTGAACCATAATTACTTCAACAAAATAATAAACTGTAACAGACATGAATACTCACCGAATCGTATCATGTTTGTCAATGCGCAATTCAGCTGCTTCACCTTCGTACGCATACTCCCATATCCATGCATTTTGTTCATAGTCGCTAAGAAGAGTGAATAACAAATTGATAGAATTTACTATCTTGAAGGTGAGCGTAGTTTTTCTGCAGGTATGAATACGTCATCAAAAAAATTCAGTGACACACGTAAGCCAGCTTTGGAGAGAGATTTTACAATTCCAATAAGAATTTCATCAATAAATGGACGAAAGCAAACAATTCGAAAGCTCACTAATTAGCCAGCACTGATAGAGAAGGAAATTTTACTACCTGTAGTATAATAGGCACCATCGACATCTGATATAAAGCTTTCTTCAACTTTCAAAATGTCCCATAAAGAAATGCACAGACCAACTTTGTAAATAACCTGCAATTAGAAATATTTAAAAATTAACTTTGAGGAAGAGTAGCTATAAAATGAAAAACGACCGGAAAGAAACAATTAAAATAACAAATATAAAGCAGTTTTACATATGCTGAATATCTAAACAAATGACACGAACTAGACTGTCAATCTCAAAGCATGAATGATAGAAACTAAACATGCCTTATTTGAATGAAACTATTAACGCGCGTGTTTACATAAATCTCAATTCGGAAAACTTATAATTTTCGGTGATATTTAAAGTACATAAACCCACTATGACGGAACGTTCATTTAAGTGCTATGTGATGTGAGAATCGTTGTAACATAATCATAATGTGCCTTGTAGCAATTAACCTGTTTAACTTATAAAAACCACATTGATACCATCTTAAAAAGCACTGATGCTACGCACTCTGTCGTTTAAACTAGCATATGTAGGCAACGGAAAAGTGATCGACAGATGAGTATGCAAGCCAATGAGTGGTTGCTGTGTTGTGATTGATGAAATTTCAACTAACAAATCAATAGAGGTTATTCAGTTGTGTTAAATGAATGGAGAAAGGGAGCACGAGAACCAGGCGACTGTGGTGTAGGAATTGGAGCGAAATAAAGGATCTTAGATGGGACAACATAACGAAGAGAAATGAGCTCAGAAACAAAGCAACAAAATTATTGAAGAACATCTACTTGATACCGCCTTGTCTGTATACACATAAATTAGTGAAGTTCGAATGACGTTGAGCGAGTATATAGCAGCTAGAATCCACGGCTCAGATTTATGCATCTAAAGCAACATTTCTACTTAGCTATAAACGTTAACACTAATGTACTTATTTCTACAAAATCAAAAAAATATGTATTGCTTACTTTGCTGCAGAAACGAGAATTGAGCTCCTGCTCCATTATTCCTTTCATATCTGAACCGATGTAATTAGGCTTAATTACAACAGTATCCTTCAAAGAAACAAGAACAAACATCTCACTAACGAGTAACGTCTACTTTAAACTAGCCACCATCAAACGTGATACAAAACCAACTACCAGTACATGAAGACCTCAATAAACTCAGTTTCACTTCATAGGAACTAATCCCGTGTCAGCCTAAGTAGATTCCATTCCTTATTTGATCCGAATGTTTTTAAACATTCACACAAATGAGGCTACTACATTCAGCTAAAATAGTTCAAAAGGTTGTGAACGGAATCGAAGAAACTTTCGTTTAACAGGCTTCCATGTCTAGTGGTAGTAAATCATCGATACCTCCAGGCAAGGACCTAGGTATATTAACGATAATAGAGAAAAAAGAAATTGGTTAATCATAATAAAATATTGTCCTTTGTCCTTAAGAATAAGTCACGTTTCTTCCTAAAGAACATCTGGGAAGTCGCTTGGACTAGCTCAGCCGGCAGTGAATTCCAGCATTTGGCAACCCTTAAGGGGTAGAAGTTGCGTCTACAGTCCGTTTTGCTGTGTTGGTTCTCTAGTTTCTAGGTGTTACCCCTTGGGTTTGTATTGAAGCTACACTTATGTAGTTGTTTAAGGAGATGTTCAGAGGCATTAAGAATCCGACGGAGAAAAACAATGCGTGGTGTGAACTATGAGAGTTTCGTGAAATAATCCTTCTATCTGGGATTGAGTCGTAGTTATCATAACTTTTATCCCTTAGTTTGAAGTATTATCAGTAGTGATTATGAGAGACGTTGTTACTGATTTCTGTTGAAATATTCTTTCGAATTTCGGACATTGTTCGCGTAGGTTATTTACTTTGATTGTGGTACATGTGAAATAAGTAAGGATCAAGTGGTCAGTTTTCTCCATTCAACTCCAAGTATATGTACTTGAAGGACGTTTTGCGACGAGTTAATAGTTATTTAGTGTTTTTTAACTTTCATAGAATTCCTGACAGTTGTGTAAGGTCAGTGATATGTCATGGCCTTAGCCAAGTCACGCGGCAGTCGAGTCGCCGAGTATGGACCCACATCAAGGTTAAGGACGACCATCGAGCATTAATCAGTTGAACTTCATGAGGCAGAAGTCGCACTCGATTATACATATTATTATCAGACGTTTCTGTAATGTCATTATCTATACGGTCATTAAATTAGCCACAGTACCTGGGTACAACGTAGGGGTGGCCCATGCTACGTGCTAACCTCATGGTGTGACGTTGATGTAATCTATGGGGTCTCATCATTCCCGTACGGCTCAAACAGGCCTTCAATCATCGACACAGACCACCTACGTTGATGATTTACGGTTTTTAGTGTCTATTTTGCTACAGTGTTATTTTAAGAGTTCAAATGCGTGAAGCAATATGCACCATATATTTAGAACTAGTTAGTTAAGAAGAATTGTGTACCATGTTTTCTCTAACTTAATTTGGTAGCCCACACTCGACAATTGGCAATAGTGATTATGTCGGTTCATTATATGAATAGCATTCGGCAGTTTACATAATCAACCCAATTCTTCACATGCGATGTACCTGTGAGTCGCCCTCCAGGCATGGCTTCGCATTACAGTCCGTCTTGAGAATTCCATATAACGGTAATTGTCTCCACAGGTACTCTGTAGTGTTCAGGATGCTTTCACAAGGTCCTCCTGTCTACGCCATCGAATCCCTTCTTAAAATCAAGGAAGTTGATGTATACCAACAGGTCTCTTTCAACTAATTATTCAGTAACAATCTGAAGAGTCACGGTTTAGTGAATACCCTCACCAAATCAAGGTTGTCGGCCTGGAATATGATCGCCTGCTGAATCTTCTATACAAGTTCAACAACGCTGTTGAAAACCTTGCCTAATACTGATAAAAATGTAATTTCTTCGCAGTTTTTACACATGAAAAGATCATTCGTTGATATCTTGATATGGTTTCATTCTTTGCAGTCTCTTGATACTCGTTCTTCCTCACAAATCCTTCCAAAGAAAATTCGCAGCACCTTCGTGACCACCCAACTCCGCCTGGAGTCCCTCCGGGGGCTACTGCCGGTCCCAAGCCCGGATAAAGGAGGAGGGTTGTGCATGGGGTTAGCGTCCCCATCCCGTAGAAAACTAACTCGCTAAAAAAACACTAACCAGAAAAAATTATTCAAACCTTTCAAACTCTGCCCTGGGAGTCAGAAGGTCTTCATTTAGAAGAATTATGACGCCTCCTGATGAAAGCCGAATTCCTTCGGAAGTTACGAGGCCGATGCCCCTTCTGACAACCAGAGCAACCATTTATTTAGGTACATGGAATGTTCGTACAATGTGGGACACCGGAAGAGCCTTCCAAATTGCTGCAGAAATGAGAAGATACGACCTAGAGGTACTTGGGATCAGTGAAACACATTGGACACAAGTTGGACAACAACGACTAACTACAGGAGAGCTCCTGTTATACTCCGGCCATGAAGAAGAAAATGCACCACATACACAAGGAGTTGCATTGATGCTGTCCAAACAAGCGCAAAATGCACTTATAGGATGGGAATCTCATGGGCCAAGGATCATCAAAGCCTCGTTTAAAACAAAGAAAGAGGGCATCTCAATGAACATCATCCAATGCTATGCGCCTACCAACGACTACAATGAGGACGCTAAAGATCAATTCTACGATAGGCTGCAGTCAATAGTCGAGAAGTGCCCAACAAAGGACCTGACCAGTCTGATGGGAGATTTCAACGCCAAGGTTGGAACGGACAACACTGGATATGAAGGCATCATGGGACGACACGGACTGGGAGAAAGAAACGAAAATGGTGAGAGATTTGCAAATCTATGTGCCTTCAATAAGCTGGTCATAGGCGGCACCGTATTCCCACATAAACGCATACACAAAACCACATGGACTTCACCGGATCACTCTACACAAAACCAAATCGACCATATTTGCATCAACAAAACATTCAGGAGGACTATAGAGGACGTGAGAACCAAGAGAGGAGCTGATATAGCATCAGATCATCACTTACTGGTCGCCAAGATGAAATTGAAACTCAAGAAGCACTGGACAATGGGGCGGACAATATCACAAAAGTTCAATACAGCCTTTCTTCAGGATACTGACAAACTCAACAAATTCAAGATAGTCCTCAGCAATAAATTCCGGGCAGTTCATGATCTACTCAATGGAGAGGAGACTACTATGGAGAGCAACTGGAAGGGGATCAAAGAAGGAATCACTTCAACATGTCATGAGGTCCTGGGTCACAAGAAGCACCACCACAAGGAATGGATCACTGTTGATACACTGGATAAGATTCAAGAAAGAAGAAACAAGAAGGCAGCGATCAATACCAGCCGAACAAGAGCAGAAAAAGCTAAGGCACAAGCTGAATACACAGAAATAAACAAACAAGTGAAGAGGAGCATCAGAACCGACAAACGTAAATATGTGGAAGATTTAGCAGTGACGGCAGAAAAGGCTGCAAGAGAAGGAAACATGAGACAATTGTATGACACGACAAAGAAACTCTCTGGAAATCGCCGCAAACCAGAACGACCAGTGAAAAGCAAGGAAGGCAAGGTAATCACCAACATTGAAGAGCAACAAAACAGGTGGGTAGAACACTTCAAAGAACTCTTGAATCGACCAGCTCCACTGAACCCACCCAACATCGAAGCAGCACACACGGACCTCCCAATCAATGTTGGCCCACCAACAATTGAAGAAATCAGCATGGCCATCAGACAAATCAAGAGTGGCAAAGCAGCAGGACCGGACAACATCCCAGCAGAGGCACTAAAAGCAGACGTAGCGGCAACTGCAAGGATACTCCACATTCTCTTTAATAAGATTTGGGATGAGGAACAAGTACCAAGAGACTGGAAAGAAGGACTTCTGATCAAAATACTGAAGAAAGGCGATCTCAGCAAGTGTGATAACTACAGGGGCATCACTCTTCTCTCAATACCAGGAAAAGTCTTCAACAGGGTATTGTTAAACAGGATGAAGGATTGCGCAGACGCCCAACTTCATGACCAACAGGCAGGATTCCGTAAGGATAGATCGTGTACAGACCAAATCGCAACTCTACGGATCATTGTGGAACAATCAATTGAATGGAATTCATCACTCTACATCAACTTCATTGACTACGAAAAGGCATTTGATAGCGTGGACAGAACAACACTATGGAAACTTCTTCGACACTACGGCGTGCTTCAGAAGATAGTCAATATCATACAGAACTCATATGATGGATTACACTGCAAAATCGTGCATGGAGGACAGTTGACAAAGTCGTTCGAAGTGAAGACCGGTGTCAGGCAAGGTTGCTTACTCTCACCCTTTCTCTTTCTCCTGGTGATCCACTGGATCATGAAGACGTCAATGTCTGAAGGGAAGCGCGGGATACAATGGACATCTAAGATGCAGTTGGATGATCTAGACTTCGCAGACGATCTGGCCCTTCTATCCCAAACGCAACAACAGATGCAGGAGAAGACAAACAGCGTGGCAGCAGCCTCAGCAGCAGTAGGTCTCAACATACACAAAGGGAAAAGCAGGATTCTCCGATACAACACAGAATGCACCAATCCAATCACAATTGACGGAGAAGATTTGAAAGATGTAAAAACCTTTACATATTTGGGCAGCATCACTAATGAACAGGGTGGATCTGATGCAGATGTGAAGGCGCGGATCGGCAAAGCAAGAGCAGCATATTTACAACTGAAGAACATCTGGAGCTCAAAGCAACTGTCAACCAACACCACGGTCAGGATTTTCAATAAAAATGTCAAAACAGTTCTACTGTATGGGGCGGAAACCTGGAGAACTACGAAAGCCATCATCCAGAAAATACAGGTGTTTATTAACAGTTGTCTGCGCAAAATACTTCAGATCCATTGGCCGGACACCATTAGCAACAACGTACTGTGGGAGAGAACAAACCAGATCCCAGTGGAGGAAGAAATCAGGAAGAAGCGCTGGAAGTGGATAGGACACACATTGAGGAAAGCACCGAACTGCGTCACAAGACAAGCCCTCACATGGAATCCTGAAGGTCAGAGGAATAGAGGAAGACCAAAGAACACATTACGCCGAGAACTGGAGATAGACATGAGAAAAATGAACAAGAATTGGATG